AGGGCTCTTGTTGATTTGCTGGCCCGCCTTCACTTAGGGCGGGCACGAGGCTTGCTGGGGCCTTAGCCCAGAACATGTACATCATGGCAAGGCCCCGTCTTGAGTGCTCAATCCGCACACAAGTGTGCCGCTTTGGCGGCAGACGGGTGTGTGGGCACTTGGTGCTGAACCACACAAACGTGGCCAACCTTGCATTTTCTATTATACTGCCTATTTATATTTTTTTGTTATGGATGGCTTGTGATGATCTGTGAAGGGAATGAGAGAGAGAATCTGGGGTCCTTTAAAACAACGCACACACAGACAAACAGATACAGGCACACACACACACGCACTCACGCACACACACACACACACACACACACACACACACACACACACACACACGCAGAGGCGAGTTTTTTTTTGGTTTTTAATTGATTTAAAAACAAATTAATGAGTACAAAATTCCCCCCAAAAAAAAGAGGGGGAGGGGTGGGGGGGTGGGGGTCCTTGAAAGGTGCCCCCCACATCTGTCAAATAAAAACAGCCCCCCACCTGGCAAAAACGAAAAAACAACAGCTTCCCACTCACCATGATGGCGGTCACCAGGGGTCGGTCATGAAAATCATAACCGGTGACCGGCCCCCGGTCACCAACCCCTCCGTTCATGAACGGGTGTACGACACTGCTAGCGGGTAAACGGGAGTCTCATTTCAGAATTGGAAGTGTTCAGCAGTTTCTGGAACCCCCAAATTGATCCAAGCTGATCAAACCTGACCCGATTCAATGAGGGGTCTTCTCATAGCAGGAACTGTCTGCCAGAAGTATGGCCTTTATACGACATCGTAGAATGGTGAAACTTTGCTGCAGAAGTGCTTTTTTTTTTTTTTTTTTTTTTCCTAAATATTGAACTGAAACGGATTCCACCTTTCGCAGTAGCTGATGCAGATCCCAGGGCTCGATCCCTAGCTCTCACTTCACCTGTGTACAGTATCTGAGTCGACCCTGAGGGTTGAACCCGTGACTTGTGTATTCGTAGTAGTTGGTAGGCTGTCGTAGGTCCGTAGGTTGTAGGGGTTCGATCTGTAGACCTGTTGTTTGTAGGTCTTAGCAGGTCCTAGGAGTCGTAGCTGTAGCCCCTCCGAAGGGTCAAAGTCGTAGCTGCTGTAGTCCTGAAAGGTCAAGGTCGTAGCTGCTACGGTACCGAAAGGCCAAGTCTACGGACTTCCGGAAGGTCCGGAAGTGGCCTTTCGGAGCTTGCTCACGTTTAGAGTCTTTAGGCAGAGGCAAGTGGGCAAGTGGCGAGGCCAACTGCAGTACGTCGGCAGTGCAACTGCGGTGAGTTGGCAATGCGTCCCCATACAGTCAGTGGTATCAGTCCCAGTCAGTGAGGGTGCAGTCAAGCAAGTACCGTGTGGGACTGTGTGCACCGAGGGCATGGGAAAGGGGCAGACCAACAAGCTACAGAAGTATAAAGCAAGAGGCAGCGACCAGTCATTCATTCATTCCTGCGTAACCATGCGGAAGCGCTGCTTGAGCGTCTTGTGCGAGGTGGTCTGCAGATGCGCCTGAAGTCGAAGCGTGCTGAAGAAGATAGCGTAGCCATAGCTGTAGGTAGTAACAGTGGCGAGCGCCGCCATAGCTGTAGGAGAGTGCAGTGTGTGTGTGTACGTGTATACAGCGTGTGTTGCATGTGGGATATCCAGGGTGATCTAGAGTTGAGTATGTGTGAACGGTGAAGTCGAGCACAGTGACGAACAAAAATTGTTGGGCGCTATTGCGCCATTGCTTATCTGAAGCGAGTTGCTGTTCTTGATTCCATATCTCTGAGTTCTGAGTTGGGCGCATATCGCCAGTTTACTGTATCACCTGTTTGCATGCGTGTGAAGCAAGAAAGAAAGCGACTCTGATTGCAGAACTGACCAGCCCGAGGTAGTTCATAATGATTTTATTCTGGTCATCTGATTGTGTCTGGATTTGAACTTGGGTCTTTATTTCAACAAGTTTCAACAGTTCATGGGTGTACCAACTGAGCTAGGCCCTTGGCTGCAGAAAGTGTTGTTGTGTTTGTCACCCCTCTCTTTTGAGACATTACAGGCTGTGGGCTTTCCAAACTAAGAAACAGAACTCGGGTCTCCATTTCAGGGATGGGATCTACACTAACATGTGCCACTTCCATGTTGTTCAGTTTGATGCACAGGAATCAAAACAGGCTATCATGACGAAACCAGCGGTTGTGAAAACTACCGTCTTCACCCGAATAGAACGCCCGGTCATTATCGCTGCATCTTGATCGAAAGTTGTGCCAAATACAGGTATAATGACCGGGCGTTGTATTCGGGTGACGACGGTAGCTTCAGATTCATTCTTTGATCCAGTCTTGTAATATGCTATTTTATGTACCGATGCCATTTCTTCTTGCCACAGCATCCGTGCACGGTTTGGGACTGATAATACAAGAAATGCTGTTCATGGATCGGATTCACATGAGAGCGTGCTGCGAGAAATGGGCTTCTTCTTTGGAAATTATACTGAAGGTGGGTGGGTGGGTCACTTGTCACTTTATGTTCATATATATTTGAAAGGAAAAAAATTGGGATTCCCGTAATGAGAGTTATCCTCAAAGATCCCATAATGCTGCCAAGCGGTTGTGGGAACCCCCATCCCGAATGTGAACAAGGTGAAGACAAGGTGCAAGAACCCAAAAGTCAAACAAAACGATTAACATGGTCAAAGGGAAAGTATTAAAAGTTCCAAAAGCCAACTTTGTCAACATGGCCGAAGAAAGGTTATCAAACGACGTGATCAACATTGTCGAAAGAATGTATGCACTGTATGCCAAATAACTTCGCGAATTGACTGCATGCAGAACAGATAGCATATGTATGGTATGCCAAATAACTTCTCTCTCTCTCTCTCTCTCTCTCTCTCTCTCTCTCTCTCTCTCTCTCTCTCTCTCTCTCTCTCTCTCTCTCTCTCTC